GTATGCACATGTGTGCACGTGTACAAGCTATCTGGACTGTGTGTGTCTGTGGTGTGTGACACTGTGCGTGTGTGTGAGGCTTGGCTGTCTTTTTGTGTGACTGTGTGACTTGTGTTGCGACACGTGTAAATGTGACATGTGGAGATGTGTGTGTTCCTGGGCACAGGTGACCGAGTGTGGGTGCATGAGACCTCAGGGCTGAGTGAAGCCACACGTGTTGTTTGTGAGCACATGTGTGACTTGGGTGTGATGCTCAGCTGTGAGCATCTGACTCCCCAGAACTCTGGAGCTGTGCTGTGCCTGGAATTTCTGAGTTGGGTGGCCACACGCAGTGTTTGGTGTCTGGTGTCTGAGTGACCAGGACAGGAGAGCCCACACGTCTGGGGGCCAGGAGAGGGCTCAGCCCAAGGGGGACGGGGTGGAAGGACCTGGAGAGTGCCACTCCCACAGGACGCCAGGAGCCAGGCTGCTGAGTGTGGGTGTGAGGATCACAGTGAAGCAGTAGCTTTGGGACACGGTCACAAAAATCCCCCCAAATCTGTGGGTCAGGCATTGGCTGTGTGAGCTTGTGTGGCAGTGCTGTTGTGTCTCTGAGCCTGTGGGCTTGTGTCTGCCTCAGGGATCAGATGTGGACGGTGGTTGTGTGTGTGTGTGTGTGTGTGTGTGTGTAGTGTATGTGTGCAGTCATTTGGGGGATCTGGATAAGAAGTATCAGCTCATAACAATGAAGTGAACGATCCTGGGTGTGACCAGCCCTGAAGGGTGCTGAAGGCAGTATGTGTTTGTGGTTGTGTGTTCATGTGTGACTCTTGGGGGTGCATGTGTGACGACTTGTGTGGACTGATGTCCAGCAATGTGTGGGGCTGCATCTCTAATGATGTGTGAGCATCAGTGTGTGTGTGGTGCCACTGTGTGCGCTGTGGGTCTGTGTGTTTTGTGTGGCCAGCTCTCAAATGAACCAGCCTGTTGTGGGGATGACAGTGTGTGGCCTTGAGAGAAGTAGTCATAGGGGTGTGTGTGTGTGTGTGTGTGTGTGTGTGCACGTGCGGCAGGGCATGTGCACATGCAGACACCCCCTCCTGGGGTCAGGCTGGAGCATTTGGTTGATGCAGGTGGGGTGGGAGTGGGTGACCTGGGGGTGGGGGGGCAAGTCCAGGCAGGAGAGCCTGTCCCCTTCCTGTCCCCATTCTCCCCAGGACCGCCATGGGTGTCTCCTCGGTACCTGTGGCGGGCTGGTCCTTGAGCCTAGGTTTGTGTCCGCACAGACGTGGTTGCGGTCTGTACCAACAGGCGTGTGGTGAGCATGTGCTCACGTCGTGAGTGGCAGCGGCCAGCGGCTGTGGGCACCCAGACTGGACAGGATGTGTGTGGTGTGTGCCCAGAGCGTGTGTGCAGATGGGGGTCCTCTGTGTCTCTACTGTGTGCACAGGTGTGTCCTACATGGGGGTGTGGTGTAGGGGAGTGTGTGTCCGCGGGGTAGGTGCAGATGGAGTCACAGGGTATGTGTGTGCGCGTGTGTGTCTGGACGTGTGTGTGTGCGCGCGCGCGTGCGGGTGGGGGCGGCGGGAGAAGGGTCTTGGGCCGCGTCTCTCTCCTCTTTAGACAGAGCCCCGGAGAAGATATGAAATTTAAAAAAAAATCAATTTTCATTCCACTTGTGCAGATTGTGTTAAGGGGAGGTGGGGGCGCTGGGTGAGGGATGAAGGGGCTGGGGTGGGGGTGTGAGGCCCGAGGCGGCTCCCGAGGCGGCCGGAGCAGCTTAGAGAAATCAAAACAACTGGTTAAACCCAAGCCCAGGGGGCCGGAGTGATGGAGGGTGAGGAGGCAGAGGCAAAGAGAGACATGGAGAGACAGAGGGTCAGAGACGAGCGAGACAGAGGGACAGAGACGAGCGAGACAGAGACACCCAGAGACAAAGACAAGGGACAGAGACACTCAGAGAGATGGAGGTATTGAGAGATGGAGGCAGACAGAGAGGTGGGCGCTGGAGACCCTGAGTGAGAGAGAGACACGGACACCCAGCAGGCCTGAGAGGCCGGGGCCCTGTCTCCAGAGAGTCAGCAGCAGTGGCAGGCCTGGGACAGTGCACGCTTCACACACCCACACCGGTACCCGCAGAGGCGGGCTTGGGAAGTCCACTGATGGAGGGACGGACAGACAGCTGGACAGATGGCAGCAGGAGCAGCAGGACCCCAGTGTGGGGCTGTCTCCGAGTGCCCACCTCCGCCCACACCCATCCTCGCCCAGTCGGCCTGTGGGTGTGGATGCGGCGCTGCGTGTGTACGTGGCCGTGCTTGTGGTCTGGCGGTGGCTGGCTGTGTCGGTGTGGTGTGTGCACCTCTGTCTCTGTGCATGACGGATTGTGTATGCGTGCCTGTGTGGCTCTGTGTGTCCTTATGTCATTTGCCTGTGACTTGACTGCCTTGGCTGAGCTGCTGTGTGTGCCTGGGTGTGTCTCTGTTTCTGTGTGGCATTGTGTTGGCATGTGCTTGTAGGTCTGTGTGTATCTGCCTATGAGCTTTGGTGTATGATTGTGTGTCTGTGTTAGTGTGTGTCTGTGACTTGTGATATGTGTCTCTGTGGGACTGAGTGGGTGTGTGTCTTGTGTGTATATATCTGTGTGTGTATAATTATGTGTCTGTGTCTCTGTGTGAATGTCTGTGACCATGATGATGGTGTGTGTGACTATTTTGATGTGCATGTCTGTGCGTTGTGTGTGACATGGTGGTATGTGTGCCTGGGTTGCTGTGTGGGTCTGTGTGATGTGCGGTGGTTGCGGCAGTGTGGTGTGTGTCAGTCTGTTGACCTGTGTCTGTGTGATGTGTTGTGTGTCACTGGGTTGACGTGTGTCTGTGATGTGTTGCATGCCAGTGTGGTGCGTGTGCCTGGGTTGGCGTGTGGGTCCGTGCAGCTGCTTGGCAGGGAGAGGAGGGAGGCAGCTCTCCCCGCCCAGCCCCTCTCCACACTGCTGCGCGCACACACACCGCACACACACGCACACAGGCGCACACACACATTCAATGCCATGGCTACAGGCGGTGGAGATGGGGGGCGGGGGGGTGTGGAGGAAGCAAAATAAAATTAAAAATTAAAGCTTGCCCGGAGTCCCCATCCGCCCCGCGCGGACCGGCGGGGAGAGGCGGGGTTGCAGCAGCAGCTCCCCCTCCGCAGCCACCGGGGCTAGGCATCGTCTGTCCAGCCGTCTGTCCTGCCGGGCCGGCCCGGCCCACAGCACTGGCCCTGCAGGCCCTGCTCCCTCCATCGGTCGGTCGATCAGCGATCAATGGGGCCAGGGGGGCGCCAGGGGCAGGGTGAGATCAAAGGGGCCCCAAGAGACTGATGCTGGGACGAAACAGAGATGCGGAGACGGGGAGAAAGAGACAGAGACAGAGATGAGGAGACAAGACAGACAGAGACTTGGATGTGGGGAGGAGAGACGCAGAGACCCAGAGACATAAAAGCGGAGTGGTGTGAAGACGCAGAGAGACGGAGAGATATGGGGGCCCAGAGACAGAGCCAGGGGGACCTAGAGATGTGGCGCTGTGACCCGGAGAGTCAGGGCAGATGCGCAGGGAAGGGGACAGAACAGGAGGGCTAGGGGCCCGGTCCTAGTGGGCCTGGCAGGACAGAGGCAGGGACAGAGACAGGAGGAGCGGCTGGCAGAGACCACGAGATGGCAGAGACGTGTGCGAGAGAGACGGCGGGGGGAGCGTGGGAGCAGGGCCCGGAGCGCCGATCCCACGGCTCCTCGTTATAACGTGTCCGGAGGAGGCGGCGGGGAGTTGAAAGCATCGGGAAGAGAAATCAAAACCAACACGGAAATGAGAGGGGCCGATAGGGGGTGGGGGGGCGGAGGCAGGAAGGAGGGGGGCCCAGAGAGGCAGACAGAGCCAGGGAGGTGGGAGAGGTGGACCTGGCGGGTGAGGTGCGGGGAGACAGGGTAGAAGGAGATAGGGAGAGAGGTGGGGAGACGGGAGGGAGAGGAAGAGACAGGCTGAGATGGGGCTGGGGTGGGGGCAGAGAGACAGAGAGTTAGAGAGAGAGGAAAAGAGACAGATGGTGCACAGAGAGACACCAAGAGAGGAAAGACCTGGGGAGACAGCAGAGAGAGACAGGAGAAGGGATGGGGCACAGGGAGAGACAGACCTGGAAAAGGGATGAAGGCGGGTGGGGAGGACAGAAATAGGAGGAGACTGAGTGATGGAGAGAGACGGGGCCACAGAGATGGGGGAAGAGACAGTCCAGGTTGAGGGGAGGCAAGGAAAGAGAGAGAAAAGAGACAGAAAAATGGAAAAGAGATAGTGGATGGAGGCAGAGAAGGGAAAAGAAAGGCAGATCAAGAGGGAGAGAGAGAAACAGAGAAAGTTGAAGAGATGGGGGAGGTGGGGGCGGGGTGGTTCCCAGCAAGGCCAGAGGGCTGGAGGGGAGCTCCTAGGAGAGTCCTCAGTGGACACTGGGCTGGGGGCTGGGGCAAGGGTGGCCGTGGGATACTGGACAAGTCTGGTCCGGTGTCCGAGGGAGGGGTGGGTTTATGGGGGAACACAGTGTCTGGGTTTCTGAGGCGTGTGGGACCATCAGCAAGCAGCGGGAGGAGTGAGAGGGATGGTGTGTTTCAGGCTGTGTCAAAGTGGGGTGGGTATCTGAGGGGTTGTGTCTAAAAAACGGGAGCCTGAGGAAAGTGCGCCCTCTCGGAGGTGGGGTCGGGAGGGGTGGAGTGAAGAAGGGCTGAAGTACCTAAGGGGTGGGCTGTCTGGGGTGGGTGTCTTGAGGATGGAGTCTGGGGTGGTGGGGTATCTGAGGGAGAGGGGCTGTCAGGTCGGGTTCTGAGAGACCGGGATGAGCAGGGGATGAAGCATCTTAGAATTAGGTATCTGAAGAGAGGGGTGTCTGAGGGAGTCGGGTTTGATGGAGGACTTGTCTGAGGGGGAGGCAGATCTAGGGGGAAAGGGTGTCTGGGGGAGGCAGATCTAGGGAAGGGGTGTCTGGAGGGGAGACAGATCTAGGCGGAAGGGGTGTCTGAGGGGGGCTGTCTTGGGGGAGGCAGGCCCAAGTGACTGGGGTCTGACGGGAGCCGCAGGTTTAAGGAGGGGCACCTGTGGGAGCATTCACGCGGGAGCGAGGGGCTGCTCTGCCGGGTGGGTGGGGCAGAGGGCAGGGCGGGCCGGGGCTGGGCCTGCCCCCTCCCAGCCCGACGGTCGGGCAGCGCCAGGCGGCCGGCTCTGGGCCAACAGATTAGAGCGCGGGGCGGCGTGGGAGCGGGACGAGCCACCCCGGGGGTCAGCCTGGTGGGGCGGGGGTCGGGGCGAGATTCGGGGTGGGCTAGACCTGGGGCAGCCACAGAGAGAGAGGGGGACCCCGAGATGCAGAGCCGGACCCGGAGAGGTCAGGCACGAGGCGAGGGATGGAGAGGCAGCGGCAGAGACAGTGCGGGGCGGGCGGGCGGTGAGAGCCAGCGCGTGTGAGTGAGTGAGTGAGTGGTGAGGAGCGAGGAGGGAGGCCGGGAGCCCGTGGTTAGTGATGGGGCACAGCGGAAGGGGAGGCTGCAGGGAAGACTGGCTGGGAGGGAAGGTGAGGGGACACGGGGCCAGGAGAGGAATGGGAAAAATGGGGACCAGTGGGCAGAGGGGTGCCTGCCTGCAGGAGGCGGCGGGTGGGGCGGGATGTGGCGGGTGACTGGCGGGCGGGGGCCTGGGTGGAAGGGGAAGCACCCCCTCCCCGCAGTGCCAGCTCCCGCTGACCCCTGTCTGTCTCTCCCGCTTGCTCTATCCCCTCCCCGTCTGTCTGTCTGTCCCGGCCTCTCTGCAGGGCTGGCTCCACCATGGACTGTAGCTGCGTCTCTGACCTTCTCTTCGCCCCGCCTGCCCTGCCTGCTCTCTGGACCCCTGGTAACTGGCCCGGACCTCCTCCCCACTTCCCCAGCCCTTGGGCCTTCCCAGCGAGCCGGCATCTCCTTTCTACATCTCTCACTCTCCTCCCTCCACCTCCCCTGGTCTTGGTCAGAACCGCCAGAATCTAGCCCCTTAATGCAAAACTTAGCTAAAAACTTCACAGCCAGATGTCCCTGCTACCTGCCTGCTGGGACATGAGGGCCTTTTGGAGGGCAGGTGAGGCATGGAGGTCGGAGAGGGACAAGGATCCAGGGGCCTGAGGACCTGGGGACTTGGCCGCGTACAGGGCAGTCTGTTTCCTCCCACCCGGGACCTGCTGGCAAAGAGGAGCAAAGACTGGAGACAGACAGGCACTGATGGAGCAGGGATGGGGAGGAGAAGGGGCACTAGGCCAGGCGCTGGTGGACAACTGGACAGACAGGATGACCCAGGCCAGGGGGATGTGGGCACATGGCCCAGCCAGCCGGAGCCTGGAAGAGAGGACGGCTTGCTTAAAAGTGGACGCCCAGAGCGGGGATGTGGACAGTAAGACTGGATGTGCATCTGAGTCCAAGTCACACACCCCATAAATGGGCTGTGTGTGTGTGTGTGCGTGCATGTGTGTGCGTGTGTGTGGAGGGGAGAGGGAGAGAGGAGACTGGGACTCGGTGCCAGGTTATTTGGGATCTCAGAGTGTGTCCATGTGTCATACTTCAGTATTTCTGGAGGAAGGGGTCACACTGGGAAAGTGTGCATCTGTCTGTCTTTGCTGAGCTGGTGTGCCTGCTTGTACATGCGTGTCTGAGGCTACCTGAGTGTCCCTGCACTGGGCGTGTATCTTTGGGACTCTGAGCGTGTCTGCATCTCAGGGCTGGGGGAGTGTCTGCCAGCTTGCCGCATGGGCTCCTGCTCCAGTGGCCGAAGAGCCTTGGACTGTTCTTTATGGGTCTTATGCTGTGTGGCACTCTGAGCCGAACGGATGGGACGGGCATTTCAGGCTGTGTGGGGGCACCCACCCAGGCCTCTGTGTTGGGGGTGTGTCTGTGTTTGGGGTGCATGGGGGTGGTTCCTGCCTCTGTGTGTCACTGAGTGTGGCTGAACGTTGGGGGCTGTGTGTGTGCGCGTGCACCAAGGTTGCGGGTCCTCCCTCTAGTTGTGTTTGTCTCAGCGTGTACAGCACATCTGAGGATGTGCACCTGAGCACAGGTGGAGTTTCCCGGCTGGGGCGTGTGTCTGTGTGTGTGTGGGCAGTTGTGTGTTGTCATCTTTGGGGTTGTGTGGGTGTGTCTGTGATACAGCTGCTTCCCTGCAGGGCTGTGTTCTGGGTGCAGAATGGGCCAGAGCTCGCATGTTGATTGAGCCCTGTCTTCTTAGGTGAGATCCAGTCTTCTTAGATTGCGATGGAGTCAAGAGAAAAATCCTTCCTTCAGGGCGGTAACTGCCTGGCCTTCTCCAGCCTCAGGCAGGGAGGCAGCAGCTCCCACTTTTAGACACCAGGGAGCCTGGATGGGACCTTGCTCCTCCTTGCCTCCCTTCCCTGAAATTCTAATCAGCCAGAGAGGGCAAGGAGCTGCCCAGGACCACACACCAAGACAAGGACCCATGTCCCAACTCAAGTTACCTCCCTCACCAACTGCCTTCCTTTTCTTGCCAGGCTCTCAGCTCTTTCTAGGCTAATTCTGCCTTCTCTTTTCATGCCTGGTTCTGGGGTCTCCGAGGAGGGGAAAGGGGACAAAGGATGTGGCACAAGAGAAGCGGGACCCAGGGCCTGAGGCCTTGAGGATGGGAGGTGAGATCTCAGGGTGGACCAGCCCCTCCATTTCCAACCGAGCTTCTGGGCGTTCAGACCCCAGGGTGCAGGACACCCATCTGAGTGTGACCTGCCTAGTGCTGAGTGAGCTGTGGGTGTGAGTTGGGTGACTGTGTGTGTGGGGGGTGTTGGGAGGCTTTTCTACTGTCATAGTGTCAGCCGGGGTGGGCCTGTCAGGTTGACATGTGCGTCTTGATGCTGCACTCACCGCCTCCACCAGTTTTATTTGGGCCTTTGGAGTCCTGTGTGTCTCTCGTTGCAGTTGAGCTGTTAGTGGGTCCTAGTTCTGCGTGGCCTGAGGAGACGTGCCACTGTGTGTGTTGGGATGGGTGTGCGATGCTGCATATGTGGCATGTCTGCCTTGGTGGCACGTTGTGTGTGGTGTGTCGTGCCTCAGCAGGAGTGTGGCACTCTGGTGCAGCTGCATCCCCCGGTATAGCTAGCTGTCTCTAGAGGGTGAGTGTACGTCTGTGTGATCGGTTGTGTGCTGTGGGTGTCTGCAGACACGCTGCTTTCAGGCTGACGTGACATGGATGCAGGGAGGGGACACAGGGATGTGAAGGGCACAGAACTGTGCACACAGGCCCTGCCTGGATGTGCCAGGGTGAGGTCAGCTGGGGTGGGGGTGGGGTGGTGAACCTCAGGGACAGATGGAGCAGAGGGCAAGGGACAGGCAGGGGAGACAGCAGGAATCAGGGGCGTTTCAGGGTGCAGGAGAGACCAGAGATCCCTAGGGCAGAGCCTGGCTCAGGGGTGGCTGGGAGAATGTTGCGGAGGGGGTGCCCCTGCAAGCCGGCCCCTCCCAGTTCCTCCCTACAGTCAAGTATGCAGGAAACTGGCCCCTCCCACCCTCTGCCCCAGTTGTGCCAGGGTAGATAGGGGATCAGGCTGAAAGTGCCAACCCAGGGTCCCCCCAGCCACCAAGTTCTCTCCCTCCATTTGGAGAATCTGGGGACTAGACACCAAGTGGAATATGGAGAATAAGAATTGGGTCCCTAAATATGCCTGAGGCTGGGTGACTGCTCGCAGACCATGAGTCAGGGGGGTAGCTGGACGCCTCCTGGTTCCTGAGGCCAAGGAACACCCAGAGCCCTGGACTTGGCGCCCTGACCCGGGGCCGCGCCCCTGCCTCCTGTCCCCAGGGTTTGCCTTCCCGGATTGGGCCTACAAGCCGGAGTCGTCCCCTGGCTCGAGGCAGATCCAGCTGTGGCACTTTATTCTGGAGCTGCTGCAGAAGGAGGAGTACCAGGGTGTCATCGCCTGGCAGGGAGACTACGGGGAGTTTGTCATCAAGGACCCGGACGAGGTGGCTCGGCTCTGGGGCATCCGCAAGTGCAAGCCCCACATGAATTACGACAAGCTGAGCCGGGCCCTGCGGTGAGGAGGGGTTAGAGGCCTGGACTCCCACCTTGCCCCTCTTCCCTCACTGTCCCTCTGGGCTCCTGCCCCTACTAGGGGCTTTCCCTCAATTTCCTGGGGTGGAATCCTGTTGGATCCCAGCACACAGGGCTCTGCACGTTTTTAGCTGCTGTAAGTACCTACTTGTGAGTGAAAGAAAGGCTTGAAGGAAGGACCAGAGCACAGGGCTTTGGAACCACACAGGCCAGAATCCCAGCCCCTGCCTCCTCCCTTCCTTGCCCTGTGATCTTGGCCAAGGGACTTCTGCGAGCCTCTGTTTCCCCAGATTGTGTTCTGTGCCCAGCACAGAGATGTGCTAGGGGCTTGGCCTTCACCTCCCTAGGTCTTGCCACTAGCACCCCCTGTTCTCCCTCTGCCCACAGCTACTACTACAACAAGCGGATTCTCCACAAGACCAAAGGGAAGAGGTTCACCTACAAGTTCAACTTCAGCAAAGTTGTGCTTGTCAATTACCCGTTGTTGGATGTGGCTGCAGCCACCACGGGCTCTCCACTCCTGCTGACCCCTGGTCCCTTTGGGGGAGCCCCTGGGCCAGATGCTCCTCCCCTCACCCCTGAGGTGAGTGAGGACACTTGGGTCCCAGAATGAGGTGTTTGGTGCCCCAACTCCCAGCGCCATGAAGCCCCCTGGAGAGGGGGCAGCCAGCCTGAGTAGCACCATTTTCCCTCACTTTCCTCTCCAGACCCTGCAGACCCTGTTCTCTGCCCCACGCCTAGGAGAGCCGGGGGCCCGTGCACCCCTGTTCACCCCCGAGACAGACAAACTGCGTCTGGACAGCCCTTTCCCGTTCCTGGGCTCTGGTAAGGGCTTGGGGTGCAGGGGTGCTTGTAGGGGTGTGGAGCACGCTGCATGTGTGTGAGGGAAGAGGACAGACACAGATGGGCAGGAGACAGGATGCCGGAAGGAGATGTAGGGCAAGGCTGTGTCTGTGTCTATGAGTGTTAAGAAACCAGAGAATGCGAGGTGAGGCAGTGAGCAGGGAAACTGGGTGGGGGGACAGGCCAGAAGGGCTTTTAGAGGCAATAAAGGAATAGAAAACGAGCGAGGAAGGTGGAGGAGATGGGGGGGGGGGACTAGTGTGACGTGGGGGAGATGCTGAGGGGGAGGGCAATGGGAGAACTGGGTAGAATGTGGCAGAGAGGTGGCCCCCTTTACTACTCCAAGGCAGGCAGCCCTGACAGTGGAATGGCTCAGTCTGACCCCCTTCCTGTGCCCCCTGCCAGGTGCCACCAGCTATTCCAAGCCCCCTGGCTTGCTGGGTCCTTTCGGCCGCGCTTTCCCAGAGCACCCTTGGAACTTTAGTCCATACCTCACCGGCCCCTTCCCCAAGCTGCCCCCACCTCTCTACCCCCCACACTTCTACCCCAACCCTCTGGCCAGTTCCCTGGGCCACCTGCCCTCCACAGGGGCAGGGGGAAGCCCTTCCACAGTGCCCTTACTGGCTGCGACTGGGGAGGGCCTGGGCCCCGAGCGCCCCTCAGGCCTGGCAGCGGCCCCTCGCCTGGCACTGCCGGGGGCTGGGGGTCCAGAGGCCACGCTGGGTGGGAAGGAGGACAGCGACTCAGAGCTGGAGATCACCGACGTCAGCGGCTGCAGCTCCGACAGTGAGGGCGATGAGGGCCTCCCCACGCCCCCCAAGGCCAAGGCGGGCAAAGGCGGGGTCGGCAGCTGAGCCAGCGTGGGGTGATGGATTCTGCCGAGGCGGGGACCAGGGTGGCCACCCGCGCAGCCTCTCCAATGTCCTGCCTGCCCTCAATGTCCTGCCTGAGACTGGGGACCAGCCCTCAGCCGCTCCTAGGCCCAGGCACATGGCTGCCCTAGTCTTTTTCCCCAACCCCAGACTGGGGGTCTCACCTCCCCCTCCTGAGGAGGGAGGGAACACAATGGCTTCCAGCCTCTCCCCAGGCTCCAGTTTGAGGGGGTCCCCGCCCGGCCCCACTCCCGAAGTGCAATACGGCGCCCAGCCTCTCCCTCAGCCCGCCCCTGTGCTGTGACTTGTGTGTTTGTGCGGCCGTGTCTCCCCTGTGCCGGCCCCAGTCCTGACGCCCCCACAACCCAGGCCCCCTGGGGACAGGGAGCTCAGAGCAATAACCCCGCCCCCAGCCCCCACCCAGGAGGGCCCCCCTCCCCATGACCCACACCAGCCACCTCCAGAGAGTTTACTACAAAAATAAAAGAATGAAAAGGAGCGTGAGACTTGGGTCGCCCAGAACCACAGGTGACCAAGGGGGCTTGGGGTGGGAGCTAGGAGAGGGTGTGTGGTGGAGCCTGAGGAGTCACTGCTGAAACCCAGGAATGAATGAATGAACTGGAGAAAGGTAGAGGGCACAGAGGTGACATGGTGGGGCAGACCCAGGAAGTAATGCCTGACCGTCGTGAAGGTTCCAGATGCCACTCCAGGACCCTTGCCCCACCCTCACACACACAGACCTCTCCTTAGATAATATATATTAAAAAATAAACCTCCAATTCAGGGTATAAAAACAGAGCAAAGGCACTTGGGGGTGGGGAGTGGAGGGGTGGCCCCCCCAGGCAATACTGAGATGGCCCAGGAATGGTGATACCCCCCAGAAATGAAGCCCTGAGTCCCCCAAGCAGGAGGGAGAGAAGGCCGAGGCCAGTGGGAGGCTGGGGGGGCAGTGATCCCAGCTGGGCCCCCCAGGCATGGCCCCAGCAGCCCGGCTCCCTCTCTCTCCTCAGGCCCTTGGGGTTGGAGATGCTGCGGCAGCTGTGCAGTGGCGGGTGGCCCTCACGTCCTCTGCTTCTTGAGAAAGGCCTGGGGTGGGGGGTGTGCAGAAGAAGAGACGGAGATGGGGAGAGAGACGGAGAGAAACAGGGAGCAAGGGAAGGTGGGGAAAGAGCATAGAAATGGACAGAGAGAGATGGAGACAGGAGGCAGAGGGGGGAGAATCACAAAGACAAAGACAGAATCGGATGGGGCTGTGGTGTGGTGAGCTCCTGAGGTGCCCACTCATGTTCGCCAGTGCCCCACTCACCTGCCTGGGGCAAGGAGCCTCAGGTACAGCCAGGCTGGGGGACAGTGTTCTCTCCAAGCTGAGACAGGAGGAGTCTCAGGCGGCAAAACTCCTCCTCCACTTCCTGGTTGAGGGGCTGGTCATCAGTGAGAAGGGTCCCTCCACTGAGTCAGCCCTTTCCTTCCCCCACCGCCCCCAAGGCCACTACCTCCAGTTGTTTAATGGTCTCCTCCAGGCTGAGTAGCAACTCCCGAATGTCCTGGGTCTGTGCTGGGCTCAGGGGGCCGCCCCCTGGGACCCCATCCCCTTCGAGGGGAGGCCCTGCACCACTGTCTTCTTCCGAGAGAGACAGGAGCTGCTTCAGGGACAGCACTGGACAGGGGTAAGGGGACAGAGTCAGAGGCGGGACTCGGGCTGGGACTGGGGAGTCAGCCAGGGATGGGTGGGGGGTGAGGGGAGGGAAAGAGGCCAGGGGCCTGCGGGCAGGAGTGAACCTTCCATTAGCCAGACCTGCAGAAGGGGCTGGGGAACACGAAAGGGGGTGCTGAGGTGAGGCTGGGGTTGGGATCAGGGCAGGGCAGGAGGGCAGCAAGGATGGAGACAGATCCAGGGAGAGGCTGAATTAAAGGTCAAGGAAGCGGCTGAGCTACCTTTCTGAAGGGCCTTGGTGGCGAGCTGGCCCTCAGGGCCTGGTCTGCAGAAGGGCAGGAGGGCGTTGAAGATTCTCTCCATCCGGCCTGGGTTGGGGAGTGGGGAGGGAGCTCAGATCTGGCCGGGCTTCCTGTGGACACCCCGCTCCCACCCAGCGCCCCTCTAGGCTCACTGTCAGCTGGGGGCATCTCTCGGCCTCCGTTGCCGTTCTCGGAGCTGCTGAGCAGGGGTTCACGGATGCTGGGGGGAGCAAGTGCTGGGTGACCCCACGGCCCTGGCGGGCAGCAGGGACAGGGAGACAGAAAACTGGAGGTGGGGAGGCAGGAAGGTCCGGAGACAGAGACAGAGGTCGAGGCTGGGAGACAGGGAGACAGGGAGGCTTGGCCAGTGGAAGACAGAGAGGCCTGGGGAGGAGACAGACAGGCCGTGGTGGGGTCGGCGAACAAGCCCACACACTATACGTGCACACACACACAGATGCACACGCATTCACATGGAGACAAGGCTGAAGCTCAGGTTCTGGGGACACACAAGGAAGCCACCCCCGGCCCTCCGGTTCCCTCTCTGGCCCCCCTCACCTGCTAGGGCTGGGCCGGTGTTTAGGGCGGGAGGTGGGGGCAGGGACCTTCAGGGATCCAGCAGTCTCGGTGATGAGGGCACACCAGCTGGGAAGACAGACCAGCCCTTGGGCAGTCAGAGCTCCCAGACCCTGTGCCAGGACCTCCCAGCCCCACCCTGGGGCCTGGGCTTCCTCCACCCACTCTTACGACCCAGACCCCCCCTCACTTCTTCCGCTCCGACACGGACTGCGCCACCAGTTCATATATCTGGGCCTCCTGGTCCCCAAGGGTAGAAAATGACATAGAAGGCGTTTGT